GAGAGGCGGCGCGGAATAAGTCGTCGCGGTCGCGGTCGCGATCGAGCGTCCGCGAGATATACGCGAGATACACGCGGGATATACGCGAGCGGTGGTGTCTGGGAAGAGGGAGAAGGGACGGTGGTGGTAGCAGAGCGATAGGCGATTGGTCGGCGATAGAGGCGCTCCGGCCGCGCCGGCGGCTGGATCGCCTTAGCATTAACACGCGATATACCTGAAAAACCAGTTTGCGGGCTTTTTATTAGGCCTTTACTTTCGCTCGCGAACTGAAAGTAAGAGTGAGCGAGCGAGCGAGCGAGGCAAACGGGGCCTGTTAGCGAGCGAGCTAACTAACGGGGTCACCAGTCGATACGGATACGCGTACGTAAACGGAGACACGCACGCACGCACGCACGCACGCACACACACACGCGCACACACGCGACATATACGCGAAGAACACATACGCGCGCGAATGTGCACGAAGAAAGAGACGAGGAAAAGAGGAGAAGATAGAAAAGTGTACGCTATGTGCGCACGTATACCTTATGCGTGTATACACGCATCCACTTACACGCGTGTAAGATCCCCCCCCCCGTCACGGAGCGTCACGTCGTCGCTGCCTCCGCGTATGTATAACACGCGTATACACGCGCGGATGCGCGCGCGCCCGGTACTGAATGTTTACGATGTCCAGTAAAGAAAATGCGGGCCCCAGTCGCCGCTGTGGGAGAAAGAGAGAGAGAGAGACCGGGTCTGTTACGTCGTTGCTGATCAGCCGTGATTCGTGACGTTACCTCCCTTTGTTCGGCACAAGTCGCGTTCCGTTCGAATCAACGTACACACGGGGGAACAGGTAGTTTTACGTTCCCTCCGTCTTCGTACTCGCTTCTATCTCATCCTCTTTTTCTTTCGCTCGGTCTCCGCCTGTGCCCGCGTCCTGCCTCCAATCGTCGCCCTTTTCCACGAGCTTCTCTTTTCCTCGAACGTGTTTGCGCGCCGCGAGTTTCAGGCTACAGAAACGTGTGCCAACCTTCCAAACGAACGTTCGGGACCCGTGATTATTTTACTGCGCGCGGGATGTCGCCGACAAACCGCGGGTTTCTTCCAACGATAATGTGTGAGTGAATAGAGTGAATAAAAAAAAAAAAAAAAAAGAAATGAACGTGACAGACGTAGTAGTTTTTTTTTTTTCAGATTGGAATGGAACCAAAATTTTTCGCTTGGCGCGTACGAGAATACGAGACGGAATTTCGGGACGAGCTACGGCGCGATTAATAAAAGTCGAAATAACGGCATTGGATATACCGAAACGTGTCACGGTATTTTGACATGATCTCGAAATTACTACCCTACTCTCTGGACTGCTTCGCAAACGTTTCGAAAAATATTTTATTATTTTCTGAATAACTCTTCTCCGCGCTCATCCTCCGACATATCTCGCCCTAACTCGAATTATTATACTGCAAGGTTTTTTTTTTCGCGTTGGCTCATACTCTCACGGGGAGACGGATCTAATCATCTACCATTAAAAAGCGATTGCAGCTATAATTTTCCTTTTTAGCGCCGTGTCTCAGTACTCATGTGGTATTTATCGCCTAAGAAAAGCCACGGTCAATCAGACACGTCCGGTGAACATGGATATGTAAATGTACATCCCTGCGAGTGCACGTGTGTGTCTGTGTTTGTGTGTGTGTGTGTGTGTGTGTGTTTGTATCGTATTTACACTCGCTCGAATTCTCGCAGAAATGAAAGAAACGCGGCTCGGAAGCGTTTCCCTTTCGATTCGTACTCATTTCCCTTCTCTCATTCTTCCCCCGGCCGTGCCGCCCCGCCAACATCATCTTCCCGAATTAAATCTTATCACGTTATACACAGTATCTAAATGAAATGTGTTCACAGCCACACATTAATTATTTATACATAAATTTATACATATATCTGTATATATTTAAATATATTTATATTTATATATATTTATATATTTCTCCGTAGTTCGCAACGTGTTTCCTCCCTCACCGAAAACAGCCCTTTTCCATCTCTTACGTATATATATATCTCTTGTCTCTCCCTGCCCTTGCTGTATCCGGCACGCGATCAGTTTTGCGAGAGAAAAATCAGGCGGGAGGAGACGAAGGAAAGATCAAAACAGGGGGATCGTGCCTCGCTCGAGCCGTCTGTTCGTTCGAACACTCTCTCCTCTCCTCCCTGTTTGTCGAAAGTTCCATCATAGAATATATCCGCCCATCGCGCCCATCTTCGATTCTTCCTTCTTCGTTTTCCGCTTCCTCCTTAACGTGGCTAACGTCCAGAATTCGCTGTATACGCAACGTCGACGTCCGTTTCATCGACAAACGCTCGTTCCGGGACGATGTCGATATCTATTCTCCGAAATATTCGTATTTAGTCAATAAACGAGCGGCGCTCGTTCCACTAATCTAAGACCATCTTGCTCTTTTACTACGGTTATGTCTATCATTTTTTTTTTTTTATAACTCATCGGAGGAACGTTTCTTCTTCTTCTTCCCGTCGTATCTTTTTCCAGTCTTCTCCGATCTCTTTTTGTATTTTTATTTTTAGGCACAACACATCGTTTCTGGAGTCTTTATAGTCTTTTAGGTTGTTTTACACCGCAACTGTAGCCGGTACCAGCGTTCGGTCCTAACTTTGCTGCAACCGACCGCCACCGAAATACGTTTACGAATGCTTAGAAAGAGCAGCACTCGCGACGGAAGGCCGAAGACTCACGATATAAGAATGCTTCGTGTCTCATACTCGCCTACCGTTTCTCACATCATCGACGACATCATACATTCGTCGTCTACGATTCGCCGAATACGCCGCCTTTCCCCAATCTACGATTCTATTGTTACCGCTATTTTCAGACGATCATCCTCGATGCCGAAGAGATGACTTCTTCCGTATACCGTTCTTGCACCCAAGCTCGCATCACCCCGACGAACGTCAACTAAGGAGCTTAGATTCTTTGAGGTCGGACACGGAACGATCGATATCTGCCTCCACACTTTTGGACACTTCGCAAGGGCCACAAGCGCAACAAAAGTCTCCAGGATCTTCGATAGGACAGTAGAGGCCGTAAAAGCAGAGGTAACAGAAATCGCACTCTCTCAATTGATATCTTTGATACCAATGATTGTAAGAATCGACGTGACTGATTGTAAGTCGGTTGAAACAGCAACAATCAGTGATCGTGGTGGTGGTGGTGGTGGCGGTGGTGGTGTTAGTGGTGGTAGCGGTGGTGGTGGTGGTGGTAGTGGTGGTGGTGGTTGTGGTAGTGGTAAAGGTGGAGATGTCGGTGGTAGCGGTGGCGACGTCTACGGATATGACGTTATCGCCGATATCGTCGCATCAC